GCGCGAATTTTAAATGAGAATTTCCGAAAACTTTTCGGTCTTAATGTATTATGCATGTATATAATTCTGCTATTGCATAAATGGAGCCCCATTATAATAATATTCGAACGATATCAATCCTTAAGTATGCTACACATCTTGAAACGCGTACTACTTGGAAATAGCAAAGAAGTTAGCTATATGAGAAGAAGAAGATCATGGTCATATCACAGGACTTAGACTTAATTGCTATAAATTTAACAAAATATATAAGCAATCAGTGGAGAACCTGCTCAGTACTGTTGTACTGACCTCTTCTAATTGATTCTAGCAATAACATTTTTATCTACTCTAATAGCAGAAAATGTAATCCCATATCAACTGTTCATGAATTTATGCATAAACAAAATACCATCGACGATTTCCTTTTTCCCTTTTCATTTACTTAAACTGTCGATGAATATCGATAATGTTTACACTGACAGAAAGACTAGTTAATGGACTAGTTAATGTTTATTAACTGCTAATGCGGATGAATCTAGTTGCTCTCGCTTTCATTTGTTGCTTTCATCCATAGTGATTTCCTAAAGTCGAAATTTATGCTGCTCCCTTACGCTTTTTCGATATTATTGCACTACTTAGCCCGCGAATAACGTCTGAGCTCATGTTCCATAACTGATTGTCACCAATAAACAAGTTTCGTTCTTAATTTCCATCGAAGTTTTATCGTTCGTGAAAATGTGACCTAAGCACTTTTACTCAAGTCCAATAGAATTATCCAAGTAAGAACATTAATTATATAACGAATGATTGAATGCTTGCGCCCAAAACCGAATGTTGTGAACATGGAAATCATTCACTGCGAATTAAATTAACACAATCAAGCAAATGAAAATTAAGTGACAAATAAAACTGGGTTGAGGTGGGTTGTTTTTACTGAAGATTTTTGGTGCATTTTAATAATAAAATTAATCATAATAACAGCCAATTCTTTTTATATCGGTGGATTAAGAGTTTTGTAGATTTTTACTTTTGCTGTTCATTTGAGGTAACAGATATAAACAATTCAGTGTATATCGAATACTGATTCGGGACAATGATAAATGCTATCGACTTAAAAATATAGCCCAAATTGAAACAATATAGCCAAATGGAATCAACAAAAAAAAAAAAAAAAACTAAATAGGGTAATCATTCGTTATGAAGCCCTTAACAATTGAGACTATCATCAACGACATGGGACATGTGCTTCAGTTGAATTTAAGTAGGAAACAGCTATTAAAAGATATGCAAACAGATTTAGCCGTATTAACTGCAATTAAAACAAATAAAACTGACAGCAGGCACGCAAAATGTGTTAAACGACAAAAGGAATGTAACGACAAGCGTTCGAATAGACAGATAGACAAAAAGACAAATAGATAGACAGATAAATAGACAGAACGCAGCGACAGAAAGTACTTTAAATACTGAAAAGACTCGTCGAAAGTCTGCGAAATATGTTATTTTAATCGTCATACAGTGAAAGCAAGTAAAAAAAGCAACAAATAAATTTTTTATGATAGCGGAAAAAACTTGTGCTTTTCTACGCAAAACGCAAAACGCAAAGCGCACAGATACGTAAAACAGCTAAGCTACAGAACATAAAATATATTTCAAACTTTAGAAAAATAAAAGTACTTTCACGAACAATATCAAGCGAACAATGAACTTTGTTGTGTGTCAGAAGGCAATACTATTATTTTGCTTAAATCTTTGGTGGGGACGAAGTACGAGAAAGAATGAAAGAATGTAGTGCAATGCTTCTTCCACATGAAGCGATTATAAAACATTTTAGATAAATAAAACAAGAGAAAAACGAAGT